ATATGTCAGTATCGGTATGTGTGTGTTTGTTTGTGTATTTACACATACATTAGGTGCATGTTATTTATGTCTGTTTATAGACAAGAAGCCAATCTCAGGAATCTTCAGTAACTGTCTGCCTTTATTTTGGACATGATGTATCACTGATCTTGGAACTCATAGATGCAACTAAACTGGCCAATGAGCTCTGCCTGTGCACATATCACTGTCTTTTTACCTTCTTTTTATTAAGAATTTTTAAATACAATCTTTACTCACTTTATATAGCTACTGTCCCTGTTCCCAATCCCTCCCATCCTACCACCCCACACTTTCCACGACACCACCCACATCCACTTTTAAGAAAGGGTGAGTCTTCCCATGAGGAGTCATCAAAGTCTGACAATTAACTTTAAGGTAAGACCAAGGTACTCCTCACTATATCTAGGATAAACACGCTATCCCTCCAAAGAGAATGTGCTTCTAGATGCCAGTTCAAACACTAGGGATAAATCCTGGTCCACTGCGAGTGGCCCCACCAACTGCCCAAAGCTCACAATTGTCCCCCATAAAAATCAGTGGGCCTAGTTTGTTCCTATGCAGGTTCCTCAGCTATTAGTTCAGAGCCAGTGAGTTCTCACTTGTTCAAGTCAGTTGTTTCTGTGGGTATCACTATCATGGTCTTGACCCATTTTTTTATTTATATTATGGCTTCTCCCTCTCTTGGACTGCTATCCAGTAGCTCAGCCCTGTTATTTGCTGTATCCCTATTACTGTTGTTGAAGATATTCACTCAGGTAATCTCATGTCATTATGTATGTGTGGCATGAAGTATACAAACTCAGTCTTAAATTTCTGTTTTTATAAGCTATAAAAGTTATAAAAGCCCAAATAGAATGATGTATTGATCATATATGATTTAAATTTTAAATTAGATTAAAATACTCAATGAATAAATATTAGAAAAAAACTACATAATTCAACATATTAGAAACTATAATATTCAATTGCTTCTTGGACTTTTGGCTAAGATCAAGTGTAGTATCTATTTATATCAGTTTAATATCTGATATGTCCTCTATCTGAGGACAATGTATTAAATGGATTTTTAGAAGTAGGGTTGGAATAGGAGCTTTCTCCATCCACTCCGTGCATTGACTTGGTATTGCAGTACCTTCAGGATTGGTGCAACCCCTTGGGAGATTTTTTTTAAAAGGAAATTATAATATACAGTACTAATAATAGACATTGAAAGATAAATATACATTTTAGCATTTAATACATCATTTTAGCAGCACAAATCAGGAAATTCAAAAGAATTTGAAATCACAAAATAAAATGTCATATGAGAATAGATCAAAAATTACCCAAAGTCAATATTAGTTTACCTTTGCTGAAATTACAAAGTAATGGAAAGACATAATGAATTCACAATTTTTTTATGAATTCGCAATTTTTCACACATTCATATCATATGGAAGGTTGTTCACTTACTCAAGGAATTTATAAATTAATGACATGGGAAATGTTTATAAAACTGTGTTAAATGTAAAGCAGAAATGATTATATCTATATTTAATTGATTTGTACCTATATGTAAGACAATTTCTGAGAAATTTTTTCTAACACCCTATGGTACAGAATAATGATATATATTTTTGAATGAACTAATTTCCCATAAATTGTAAAAGTCAGAGATGGTAGAAGAATTTTAGCACCTGTAATTTTGACAAAAAGTACTTAGAATCTAGAATATACTAATAACTAATAATCTGATTATGTCAATTAACATGAGATTAAACAGAGTTCCCTAGAGTATAAATACATATGTCCAAGAATATTTGCCTTAATGTTAAACATCCATAGCTATCAGAGATGTGAAAATGAAATTCTCTTTGACATTTTAACCCACTCCAGTCTAAGTGCTAAGATGAAAAGAATGGCAGAAAATGTTGGTATGGATCTGGAAAGAGGTGAACACTGATCCATTTTGGGGAAAGTGCAAACTGTGTTACCACTGTGGAAATCAGTATGTTAGCTCCTCATAAAACCTAGAAATAGCCATCATGTGTCGCAGTTACACCACTATAATATTTTCACAAAGGATTTCCTACTACAGAGAAACTTGCACATCTTTCTTTCATTGCTGTTCTAGAAATACAGAGAAAGGCAATTGAGTAATTATTTCTGTCATGCTTTGATTAATCCTAGTAATTAATCTGAAATCAAATGATTCACATTTCTCCCACATGAGTGTAGGAAATTTTTAATATAGTAGTTTTGATTTTATTCTCTAAAGTTGATTTTAGATACAAGTTATTAAATGTTGACATGATTTTGGTAAATATTTCTTTTAAAATGATTTCTTTGAAACGTTTTCCTAAATATATGTCCTTGAAAAAATTGGAAATAAGCTATACTTGAGCATATCAAATAAAATTCAAGTTCTCTCAGTTCTCAGTTACCAAGGAAGCACAATAAGTCTCCTAGGAGCCTTGTATGTCTCTATCTAACCTTACAGCTCACAGACAGGACAACTTTGGAATCCCATCTCCCATTTCTTACCTGGGCTTTGTCTCATTTATTCATACATTCATTACCCTGCCACTTAAAAACTTCTAATTTCTTTCATAGTGATCTTGAATTTTATTGATAGGTTCTTACTTTTTCCACATGATGTTGCTCTTCTCTAAAAACAAGAGCCAGACTTTCTACACTTTGTGATTTTTTTTTTCTTCTTTCTGTAGTAGGGACTATTCACAATGTGCAGCCAGACGTGGAATAGAGAAAAATTTCAAGTAGTGAGAAGTGACTCACTCAGGAAGTACTCCAGTTCTTGAAGTCCCTTTTGAACAAGCAAGAACTTAAAAACTTGTAACATTTCCTATTTAGATACAATATATTCAGAGATTCTTTTCT